CCAGGGTGCTCAGGAATAACGTACATATCCCAAATCCAGGACAGTGTTGCTCTGCCCCCACCGCGTTCCTTGCCTGTTCCCAGCAGCCGGGCAGGCATGTGGTGTGTCTCCCACAGCAGATACACATCTTTTTGTTCAGATTTTCTCCTCCACCATCACCACCCCCTTGGCTCTTATCGCAGCCAGAGCACCGGGCGTTTCAGCCCCACATCAAAGTGGAGCTCTTCCCACCCAGCAATCCCAGCTGGGGCGAGGCGATGCTGCCATCCCACCGCATCCGCCGTGCCCAGCACCAGGAGCAGCTCAAGGTGAGCCCCACACTGCGGCTGGCACAGCACAGGAAGGCAGCTGGGTACCAGCGTGGAGGGAGGAGAGCTTCCTCTGGAGTTTCTTCCCAGGCTGAGACATCCCACTCAGCTCCAAAGGGATCAGCTCCAGGATTCCCATTGCCTCTGATATCACTGGGAGCCCACACAGGGCGGCAGGATTTGAACCAAACCCCCTAAATAGCAGCTACAGCACCGTGTGAATTCACACCAGCACCCTGACACCTCCACACCACAACCTGCTTCACCACCGCATAAAAAAAGCCTACAGAGCGCGTTAGACATTAACAGACATTTCACCCTGAAACCAGTGGAGAAGTTAAACTGTGACGAAGAGATACCACAGCGGCTGGAAAGTCTAAATATTTCAAACCCTGGCTCAGAAGAGGATTCGTGGCATGGCACTGACAGCAGATACCAGAGGCATTAGCAGAGCTTGGTGGTGGGGCCAGGACCACGGCACACCCCAGCCCAGCCACCCAGGCCACGGGCGTTTCGCATCACCTACCCCTGGTATTTGTAAATTAAACACGGTAATTACCCCGCTGCAGAGAGCAGGGCGAGAGCTTGGGTCACGGTGTAAACTGAATACGGAGCAGCACGCTCACCTTGCTGCCAAAATGCACATCCTAGAGGTGAAGGAACCCAAGGTGAAACATCTCACCTAATCCCAGAGGGAAAAATAAAGGTGGGGAAGGGCAGTGGAAGGGTTTCACCTGCCCGCGCTGGGCTCACCTTTCTGCAGCGCTGTGAAGCACACAGAGCAAGGAGGAGTTGCTATTTACGTCTGTCTGACTCACAGTATCGCTCGGGGAGAACTATAGGGGCTATTGTGGGCCCTTCCCATCCACACCCAGCCAGGAACCGGCAAACAGGTTGTTCCACATCCCTCCCATCGCTATCGGCACCGCAAGGCAGGCGCAGGAGCCAGCTGCCCCTCCAGAAGGCAGAGCCGTAGGAACTCACAACATTTGGGTATCACACAACATTCTGCTTTTGAGTTTTCAGAGCCTCAGGATTATTTTTTTTTCGTCCTCTCAAGCTACATATGAACCATTTTTAATAAAATTACCGAACAATGCATCGGTGAAGGAGCCGAGCTGCTCCAGCCAGAACGTGTTGATGCTTGTGCAGGGCTGAAGCAACCCAGCTGATCCTGCAAGGGCAGCAGCAGCCGGTGGTTTTCACCAGCTCCTTGGCAAAGCCACCAGCTCCCAGTGCCACCAGTACCAGTTGGGCCACAGGGATCCTCTGACAAGCAAACGGCACCGTGTCCTCCCCAGCATCGCTCCTCGCTCCGTGAGATGAAGGATGCAGCACCAGCAGCATCACTTGCCATCAAGATCACTTGCTCTGGAGATTCAGATCACAAATAAAAAGCATGAAAGGGTGAAACCAGGAGTCCAGCAGCTCAGCTCCTCCACTCTTTGACATTGCACTCGGCTTCTCCCTCTTGGTTTTTGTTCAGGGACACCAGGAAAGGTGACGGTGCCATCAAGGGAAGTAAGCGAGTTGAATATTAGCTCATTAATGAGAAAAAGCAACAGACAGTAACAGGACAAACTGTTTGAGCTCCTGAAGCTTAATCTGCTTTTCAATGGCTGGGTAAATGCTGTTAGCTGGATCCTTTGATGCCAAGTGAGCACTTCAACCCAGGGAGGGGATGTGTCGTGCCAGCAGGTCCCCTGGCCAGGGGGAGATGAGAAAGCACCGGGAGGTCCCTGCACCAGGCACTGCTCCAGCAGTCACCCATCCCACTCCTCCTGCACTCTGCTGAGCACAGGTGCTTTGCTGGACAGGACAGCTCCATTGATTTGGGTTTTTTTCTGGGGGGACAGCAGGGTGGAGAGCACCAGCCTTGTGCCCATTACAAACAAGTCCTGCTCCAGGGTGAGATCCTGCCCCCAAGACCTGGCAGATCAGGGTGCTCAACCCCACAGTTACCATTTCCCCTTTCAGTTCTGCATGCCACCTGGTTTCACATCTTCCACCAGCTGCAGCATTGACCACCATCACCAGCAGCAAGTGTGGCCACCCCCCCAGCTTCTGGGGACACAGGCTGGCCATGACTCCGCTCCCACATCACCTCACGTCATGTCCTGAAGATCTCAGCAAGCCAGGTTTAAGGCAGAAGCATGCCCCTGAAAACTTCTGCAAGGTTTTATTTCCTCTCATACTAATGTCTCTTGATCCAAGCCCTCGAGCTGGGGAGAGAAGCACTTCACAGCCCAACGCCTCATCCAGAGCCGGCAGCTCTGACTTGATCAGCTCTGACATTCAACCGCAAGCCGACTCGGAGGGAAGATCTGTGTGTGTGCAGGGGGAAGGACACGAGTGTGGGGGGAACAATCCGCTTCTCCCCGCTGATTCATCCAGTTCCTCTTCAAAAGGTTTCACTGAGGGCAGCCCCGAAGGCTGGCACCGCTTTGTTGATGCTGCATTAGCGACTCATCAGCACAGTGATGATCAGCTCTGATCACAGCCCCTGATCGCAGCCTCAGCTTCATCCCACCCTGGCAAAGCTTAAGACTTTTAAAAAATTTATTTATTGAGAGATAAGGTAAAGAAAAAAGGGAGAGCTGCCTGGGACACTCCGGTTCAGACACCTTCAGCCATCCACTCCCTCAGCTGAGCAGTTCCCATTGACACTTGGGTGGACTGGAGACCCAGGTGACCTGCGATGTCAACAGCTGCCCCTCCAGATGTGCACAGATCACACATCTGTATCAGGATGTATCACCATGTACAGACCAGCGAGTCCTTAGCACCCACCTGCTCTGGCAGCAGCTATAATGGTGGCACAGGATTAATTAGCACAAGAGGACGTGACTGCACAGACCTCATTGCACCAGCCTGGAGCCGCTCAGCTCAGACACAAACCACTCTGTCCTGCTCATCAGCAGTGCCAGGAGGGCAGCAAATGCCTCCAGGACCAGCCACACAACATCCCTTCCTAAAATCTGCCAAGCTCACAGCATTGCCAACAGGCAGCAGACACCAGCCCAGGGACACACACGTGTCCCCTCTGTCCCTCCCAAAAGGATGGAGCATCCCTGCAGGAGCTCGTCCCAGCACACAGTGGGTAGGCATCCCTGGAAGATGTCACCACCAAAGGTGAAACCCAAATGTCAGACCCAGTTACATGTTAGAAACTCCCACCGGGCAACACACTCTTGGCAGATGCTCAATTACCAACCCTCTGCTGATTTACCCAAACACAGGTCAGTGGGAACAAGCCAACTGCTACAGGAGCTGCTTTTAATCGAAGATGTGACAGTGCAGAGGCCAGGCAGGCAGCAGATCAGCCTCGTTCCAAGGCAGGCAGCAGTTTTTAAAAGGTCCTCCTCATGTCTGTGCACTTTAGCAAGCCCATTCCTACATGTCCCTTCCCCAAGGGAACACAGCTTGGAGACTGAGCCCTCAATTTCTCTGGCAAATTGGACCTTTCAACAGAATCACAGGTGGAAACACAGGTTCAGAGCGTCCAGTCTCCCACCAGTGCAAAGTGGTTACCCACAAGCCATCAAGCACATCCTTAAGTCCAATTTTAAAAGGATCAAGCAACAATATTATCACTGCTCTTCCACCCAGGGGCTGGTCTCCATGGGACCTCACTGCAGGGACACCAATGTCCCTGGCAAATATTTCCCAGAGCTCAGGTTTGTTTTTTCTGGGTGTTGCTCTGGCAGGTCCCCAGCAGACACTAGGCACCACAACCACCCCCAGCTCACTGCTGTGTGGTGGTCCCCGATCGCACGTTAAACACTTTGCTGCTGTGATGACCTTTGACATTCATGGGATCAATATCTACATCTCTGCTGTTGCAGGAAGCATCTACCCAAAACAACTGCAAATCCAATTAACAGCTTAATCCCTCTCCCCAGAGGCTTCAGCACAGCACAAAGCCTCCAAACCATGGTGCTGCTGAGAGCCAGACCAGAGCAAGGAGCTGCAGCCAAGACAAGAGCCTGAACTCACCTGAACAGCCCTGGACATCCCACCAGGCTGGTCTGCTCCTCACCAGGAGCTGCCACGTTGGCAGTCCTACCAGGGCAGAGGCTGGTGGCACCTTGGCTCTACGGCAGCATCACAGACAGGACCAGGCTCTGTGCCCAGCCTGGTGGAGATGGCCCTACCACACATCCCTCCGTGATGCTCATCAACATTTTAAAAGCTATAAGGAGATGGTTTAACACTCTTGAAGGCCAGCATCCTCCACTGACACTAAACACCTCCACAGCAGATGACCTGACCACAAAGGTGACACTGGTCCCAATTTCATCATGCAAATTGTGCATCAGATGGAAGCTGTTATCAACCAGAGGCTCATTTCAGCTCACCAATGGAAGACTAATTACTGCATGGTTCGCCCTCTCATAGCACCGTGCTTCAGTCAGAGCAGCCTTCACTAATTCAAGAGGATCTGGGAGAAAAGAAAAAACAACCACAAAGTAAAATCCCTCCAGCCCTGGAGGAGTTTCCTGCAGGTGCTGCTCAGCCCCAGCACCCCAGTGCACTCCCAGCCTGGTGGAAACTGCCTCCAGCTCTGCTCACCAGGCAGGTACTTCTCTTGGGAACAAATCCTCCTTCCCATGACTTTGCCATGGCCTAGTTTTAAAAGGGGACAAAAGAAACAACGTTTTGAATAACATTCAAGGAGCCAGATAAGGGCCAAAGTCACCCGAGCACTCACATGCGAGACTGGAGCTCCTTGGAAGTGTTTACAAAGCGTTCCCAGATCAAACCTGGAACAAACCTTCATTGATCAGACAACATTCATGCTCTTCACACCACCTTCCAAAAGCCACTGCAGCAACCACTGAAGATGTGAGGAACAGGATGAGGAACCCCTCTCAAAGAGGAACTCTGGTGATGGGTCTAATCCTCCAAGGACCAGGAACCAGGCAGCAGCCAGGAGAGCAGCTTTCCAGCCATCCCTCCTCAGTGATCCAGCTCCCAGG